CCTAGAAAATTGGCGGCAAAATTTCTCGATCGAGACAGTGAAATCAATTCAGTACAATTTATTTAGAACTTACTCGTTTTGTTCATCGACGGATTCCTGAACGGCTGTATTTGCTTCTCGATCGCAATCTTTGTTCGATTTCTCCGAATTCTCCGCCGTCTCTTTCTCTTCAGATTTACTGTTAGCGGCGGAATCAACTTCAGAGGACGAAACTTTAACGCACACAGGCGTTGCTATGAACGTCGGGTTCTGATGTCCAGCCATTATAACCAGAACTTTCTCGTCGTTGTTAACCTTCTCCAGTGACGTCTCCGAGTCGATTTTGGCATCGTTGCCACCGCCGGACTCCAAATCGCCGCTGTCTCTGTCCTGCCGGGAGAGGTTCCAGTAAGAACATGCCAAAATGACAAGCGCAAAGGCGATCAGGCTCAGCATCGCTGCAAGGCCGCCGAATAAATACGGCAACGGCGAGTGCCACTGCACTCGCTCCGCGATGTTCACACCAGGCGACGGCGAAGAGAATTGAGCGGACGACGGCGAGATGCTTTCCATTGTACTGAATTTCTCTTCTGCTCTGTAACTTCTTCGTCAAGCTCGGTTCTGGATTTGATCGGCCAAGAAATAACAAAAATCGAAAGAACAAAAAAAAAAAAAAAAGAAACGAAAATTGTAGGTCATGGAGAGTAAAGAGCGTGAAGATTGTATTTATAGGAGGAAAAAGACGAGATGATGGATAGGGATGAAGGAAGAAGGCGCTTTTTTTCGCCTCATTTCTTTCTCATGCGTTGCCTTTTCTTATGGGTCACGTTTGTCACTCTTTTTACGATGGAAATATTCAAATTATAGCCTATTGGTCCTAATATTATTTACACTATTATTTTCTTTATATATTTTCAATAATATATATATATATGTATATATATATAATTTTTGAAATCTAGCCCATAGTTTTAAAAATATCAGGTTTTTAACACTATTGTTTTGAAAAAATCTTTAACAAGCTACTATAATATAACTGTCCTTTTGTCTCGTATATAAATAAAAAATATATACTCATCTTTTAATAATAATTAACTATTATAACTTTTTTTTTCAGTTAATATGATATATAATTTCTCATTTTTTTAATAATAGTTTAGGGGTTGATTTTATTTGCGAATTCGAATATTTAAAAAATTGAAGATATTAATCAAACTTAAATTTTAAAATAAAAGGATCGATTTTCATCTAAAACTAATAATAACTGTATTTTTGAGACACAGATATTTTTATTAATTAATTAATTAATTTTTTTTAATTCACCCGCCACAATTTCCCTTTTTGAAATGGCAATACGTGACGTACAATCCGGATGCTCGAAATCGGATGGCATCAAGACGCTATGTTGGTGGGCCCAAAATGGGCCCAGGAGAATGGGGATGGAAATTTCGCAGTGGGCCCATTTTGTTGACCTATTGAAAACTAAATATTCATGTAATTTACATTTCATTTTAGCTTTGACAATGAAGTTTTATTATTATTATTGTTTAATATTAGAATATTTTGCATCAAGTTCGGGGAACAATGATTTCCGTCCAAGTTACATTAACCCAAAAAAAAGGGTACAATAATTATAAAAAATTAAAATAAAGATAAAATACATAAATTTGACTCTTTTTTTTTTTTTTTAATTTATGTTTATTTTTGTATAAATTCTTTGCATTTCTTTTAAAAAAACATGCGGAAATTAAGTTGAAATTTACCACAAAAATAATTTTTTAGTTAAATTATGCTGACATAATCGAAATATTCAAAAAAAAAAAGAAAATTCTTTAATTTCCATAGTGAAAAAGTGAAAGTTTCTTAATTAGTTATCAGACATTTTAAGAACAAGGGAATATGCATCTAAGCGTAGAAATTATACAAAAAAAAAAAAAAAAAGTTTATTTATTTATTTTTTATTATTATTGAAATAAAAATATTTGTACTTTTATATTTAATTTAATTTAATTTTGTTTTTATTCGGATAAGGTCTATAAATATATTAAGTAATGATGGGGATAGACCTATCAAAATCAAGAAGGAATCGAGGTGGGTCATATGCATCCGCCGGGTCGGGTCGGGTCGTATTGGAATTCACCTGAAAACTGCAATATGGTGGCGATTAGTGGGATCCAGCTGTTTTGCATTTAGTTTTGGGAATTTACTTAATTACCCTTTCTTATAATTTTAAAATTTAACTATGCTTGAATTCACAGACTATTTCTTCAAGCTTAAATATAAAATTTGTGAAATACTAATTTAATTTTGTCATAATTTATTTATTTTTTCAAAAAAATATTCTTATCAATTATTATTTTAAAATTGATAACAGTGGAGAGTATTTTCCATTTAATTTTAAATATAACCAAATCTAAATAAACAAAAAGAGAAGATCTACGGGGCATTTTCGACACCTTAATTTTATTAAATAATATTGGAATATAAAAATAAATTATAGTGAATGGATATGAAAAATATCCGTTTTTGCTGGGAAGCAGCTTAGAAAAAACAGATAAATATTATATATTTGTTTTTTTTTAATAATTAAAAAAAAAGTGGAATTCTGGCCCTTTTAATTTTTTTTTTAAAGGGCTCAATTGTTGGGTGAAGAGGCAAACAGCCATCGTGTGGGCCCAGAATCAAAATATATTTAAATAACTTTTTGCAAATAAAATATTTTTGAGCTGTATTTTTTTATATTGTAAATATGCCAAAATCGTAAATTTTAATCATTTAATTTACCATCAACGATAAAAATATATTTTAAAAAGCTTTGTGCCCCATTAATGGCTAATATTGTGCACTAATTGATGTATCAAAGAATATCTAATTAAATAATATAAACTGTTTACCTTTTCAAGTACATATTTGTTATCACATGATGACATTTAATAAAGTATATTATATTGATCTAAATCTCGTTGATAATCTCACTTGGACTGATACAATAGTAAATAGATATTTATATGTTTTACATAGATTTGTTCACTTAATATTTTGTTGTGCACAAATAGGCTATCAAAACTAAACCTAGTGGACATTGATGCCTTTTCCTTAATTACCACTTAAATTTCCATTTATCAAATGTGGGAAACTATTGTCGGGTCAAAAAAAGATGGATGTCCTAAAAAGTGTAACGGCCCACGTTGGCACTCGTTCCTTTGGGACCCCACCAAATCCTCTCCCAACCCCTTTCGGGGAACAGCGAGAAGGTTGGCACATCGTCCGGCGTCTTGACTCTAATACCATTTGTAATGGCCCAAGTCCACCGCTAGCAGATATTGTCCTCTTTGGGTTTTCCATTTCAGGCTTCCCCTCAACTTATAGATGATGTTTTGTTCTCCTCCCTACAAACAAACGTGGGACATCACAAAAAATCTTTATGATCAATTTCTATTTTAAAATTTCAATCTTTTATTAAAAAATGTAAACATATTAATAAATTCAATAATATTTTATGAGTAAAAATACAATACGATATTCATGGGGTAGAGATTTGTGAGATCAAAGACGGGTATGAAGATTTGATAGGATCAAGAACGGAGACAAAGAATGAAAATATAATCTTTATCTTTGACCGTACATATTAAATGAACATTTCAAATATAAAGATATTTCTATTATATCCGAAGTTTAAAAATAATAATAAATTATTAAGTTTATATTGGTTCGGCAAATAATACAATTCACCTCACTAAAATTTTAGTCAAAATTATTAATATTGACTATTGAATTAGTGAAATATTAAAAAATATATATAACCATCAAATTGCCACAAATGACCGTAAATTATAATTTAATAGGGATATAAATAAAGAATATAAAATGATACATTTGTAACGAGACAACCTTATATTATAATTTTGAGAACGTCTAATTTCAACCCAAGAGCACTAAGCTAGATAATAGAATTGCAGCATTTTCAGAAGAGAATAATATCATATCTAATCCACAATGTTCTTAAAAATATATATATATATATATATATATATATATATATATATATATATATATATATATAAATATAATCAACAATGGATTATTGGGATGACGTTACGCTGCACTATGTATTTATATATTCTATTCTTTTTATTTAATTACATATAATTTTAATGGATGGATTCCACACATTTCCCCTGCAATCGAAGCTTCCTTTATCATAATTAATTTTGAATTTATTTAATTTTTATTTGTGCTTAATTTTTTTAAACTACACTTTCAAAATTCAAAATTAAAATGATTATTATTATTTATTTAAATTTCAAATTTTAAATATCTTTATTCTCAATAATTACTGAAGCTCAACCTCTTCTCAACTGGCAGGCCCAACTTTCATTTCAAACCGATAAATTGGGCCCAAGCCCATAACTAATCGGGTCGGTTTCCTTACCCGAGGTGCTTTTATTATTATTATTATTATCAATATTTATAAAATATAAAACATAATATATATTATCTTCTTAAATATTAATAAAAAAATTTAAATTAAATAGAATTAGTTTAAAGTGAAAAAGGCTTGTTGATATATGCTTAGTATATTCGTAAAATTGAAAATTTTAAACAATATCATAATTTTATTATTGAAATTAAGTTACAAATTAGTTTTCTTTTAATTTTGATGTTTGTGTTTATTGAACATGAGCATTAATATTATTTTTAATTTACCTCTCAAAATCTTTTTAATATTCAAAATTTTAAAAATTAACTGTTCTGTAATAAAATAAATTTTTATCCAATGAAATCTTAAATTATAATTTATATATATATTTTTTAAAACTAAAATTTTAACCATTAAATATTTTATTTTTGAAGTTTAAATAAATAGATATAAATTTAAAATTGTGGACTAAATTGCAATTTAATCGTTTTTTCTTTCTGCCAAATCATCCATAAAAAATTGTACGGCCGTGGTAGTTTGGCGTCTTTATCCTGGTGTTACTATAAAAACGCGGGTCTCAAACTTTGTTCAATTTGTTTAGATCCAAACAGAGGCCAGAGAGAAAAAAGAGAGCGCGATCCGCTTCGGACTTCCTTTTTCGCGCCTTTTCTCGCGCCCTAATCTGCACTCTCATTTGCGATTTTTCTTCGTGATGATTTGATGGAACTGGAAGATCATTTGACGATAAACGGATCATAGACAGCGCGCGGACCTTCGATCGTAGGTATTTTTCTTCATTCGGAATCGTTTACCTCGATTCGTTTTCGCTCGGCGACAGATTAATCGCTGTTTGTATGCTTTTTATTTTATCAGTGCTCTGCATTTCACATACAACATCGTAGAATATATCTGTTGTTCGGCGACAGATTAATCGCATATCACAGTCTTTTCAGTTTTTCAGTAGTTTTCTGCATTACATATATAATATCGTAGAATGTATCTGTGTTTGCTTTCGTCATCTTCCGAGAGGCGATCGTAAAATGTTGAATGTGCATCTAATTTCTTGTCTAATTATGGCGTTTCGCGTCCGTGTTTGGATTTTTTCAGGATCAGGATCAGGATCAGGCTCGTAGCTGTTGCTGTGTAATAGGTTCTCGACAGAAATTTCAATGGCGATATTCTTAGCGTGTTCGAATTTCTATATGTCTTCGATACAATGAAATGCGGTATGGTGCTCGTAATCTGCTAATATTTTACGTATCGCGCGTTCTAATGGTAAGTCAACTTTTATATTAGAACCGGATGAAAAGGAAAACAATCATCTAATCTAACTTTTTTGATAATTAAATAAGATCTCTATTAAAGGATTTCTCGTGACTTACTCTGATAGCTTCAAGATGATGATTATTTCATAATTGGCGTTGTTCTCCGCTGATAAACGAGTTATGCTTACCGTTTAGTTTCCAGATTAAGCGATACATTGCATGCCGAGGTGATTTTCCCGTACAGTTTGAAGAACTTATCTATTTTCCTTGATAGGATGCTATTTCTGTTAAGATGAAATAAAACTCAACTAAAAGATCTAGTCTATTCAATTCATTGGAATTCTGCGTAATTTTTTTTCCGCTCCATCTTTTTGTTCTCGATAGTAAACTGTGCCGAGACATTTCATGAGTTTTCAAGCTGAACCAAAATTCCTTATCACTGCCTTGACTTGTTTTCCTTGAACACATACAAGATATATCTTCGGCAAGTTATGATTATTTGCACTTGCTATGCCTTTTTAATTGAATTGCAATATTCAAGACCATGGTTCCTAATTCTGCAGATGCTACTCTAGTTCAAATTATAATCTTCCGACCGAAAACTGATTAGCTTTGATTTCGAACTTCGTATATGAAATAGTGTTGAAGGAAAGTAAAGGTTATCTACTAGCACACCTTGAGCTGAATGTGTCCTTTACACAGACAATTGAATTTGAGGTATAGACGTTTTTGTTTTCAATAAAAAATAGTTCAGATGTAGTTTGTGTGCTTGTTTCGGTCTTACTGTTCTACTGTCATGAAAATACTTGAGTTTGGCTGCCCATTTTTTGCAAGATATTTCTGATGTACTGCCTTACCATTTTTATGATTAAGAAATGCTGCTACCTTAATATAATCCCTATGCTTATCAGATGTCTCCTGTTTCAGAAAGGTAACGAAGCATGTTATAGATGTAAAATGACCGTTTACTAGCATCCAATATGCGTTGTCTGTTCATTGAATTGTCATTTCCACACTTTGGGGCAAATTATTTCACTCAGTTGAGTTTCTACTTCTGTAATTTATTTGGTTTTCAATTGTTCTGCGACTCCTTGTAGTTAATCATGTCTGTAGTTATATTGCTTCCATTATGTATCTAATTCTAACCTACCTGGTTGTAAATAACAATGCAAGGAAGCTATAATTTTAGGCAATGTGGTTAAGCTCTGTTGGGAGTCTACTCGTCCAAACGGATGTTGAAGCCTTGGCCTACAGGTTTTCTTACTCTCCTTGTATGTTTTTGCCGTCTTTATTGATCCCGCTATTACAATTTATGCTCTATGCTCTGTCATCTTCTAGGAAGATAGCTAAATTTTCTATTTGATTAGGTCCATGGTCTGATGGCGGGTCATTATTATGAGTTCCTTTGTTTGTTGTCCAGTTTCTTCAATATCTTAAAAAACCTAACCAAGTTTGAAATCTACCAAAACTGATTCTTATAAACTTGTTTGATTTTTGGAAGTTCAATAAGAATTCAATCTTTTTCGAAAAAAAGTGAAAACCATAATATAGGAATTGTAGAAAAACACATGAATTTCAAAAATTGAAAACAATAAATTTTTTTTTTTTTTTTTTTTGGTTTGTAAAAATCATTTACACAAATTTTAAGTGTTTACTTTTTTTCCTTTTTCTTGTTCTCATTATGATTTTGTTAAAAATAATATCTTCTAGATTATTTATGACTTGCAATTCCTTTTATTTTACTTTTCTTTTTCTTTCTTAAACTGTTTCTCATTGATTGTTTATGGGGTCTACATATTTTATTGAAATTTTAAAAAAATGTTGGGTCAATTATTGGAGATCGAGGTCATTGATTTGTATGAACATGCTTTCAATATTTATATGTTTCTGTTTAAATATCTTTATGTATTAGTTTTTTTAAACAATCGTGCTCCTTCATGGACCTTCGTTTTTAAATTTTTGGTCTTTAAATATCAAAAGTACATCGAACTCTTTTTTTCCTCCCCACAATTTATATTACTTGTACATATAATATAATATATATTTTTTATTTTTAAAAAATGTTTTAGTTGTTTTTTAGTTTAGAAGTAATGAAAACGACATTGCTATTGAAATTTAGATCCTAAGACAAGTCCATGGAGTTGTAGCTAGAACACCCACCCAATATTAGGGGAACAAAAAGGCTTTTATGATATCAATCTGGATTTATAGAAAACTGTCCTAAAACTAAGTAGAGATTTGTCAATTCTCACGAAAGCAAAGTGTGAAAACTTTATTACAAATTTTCTCTGGGAAAGAACAGACAGCTTTCTTCTGTACAATTTACAATTTGAGCGGGTGGCTAGGGGTAAGAGGATATGTTACACTGATTACATTACTTGACCCAAAAAAAAGTGGGAAAAGGAAGATTACAAAACTTTCCTAATGAACTGAATTTACCTCAACTTTCTCAAACAAAGCATACATTTACAAGGGACGTTGTGGTAAATATTGCTCAAGACATTCTTTCAACTTTTGGAATGTTATTGGCTTTGATACGAACGAGTCCATACCGTTTTCATAACACTCATCCGCGCTTTCTGACAACGTATTCGCCGTCATCTGCAAGTAAACCACCCACCATTCAATTCTTTCGGTAAATGCCCAATTTACTGTCTAAATATGTTCTTTAATATTTTTGTTCATGGAACCTATGCTTATTTATTGACCTATTTTTTCAATTATTGATTTTCTAAAAAACAGTTAGCTTTTACACAAATCAGGTGAAGTAATTTTTGAAAAATTGTTTATTTTTTTCCTTACAAAGTTTGTTTAAGATTTGAAGTGTTTGAAAAAAGTGGTAATATAAAGAAAATATAAATATATGTAGTTTCTAAAAAGATTAAAGCTTTGACTTGGGTAAAATTTCTTTAAAAAATTTTATAAATAAAAATACTTTTAGTAATTATCATTTTTTAATCTTTTTATTTTTATTTTTCTAAAGAAAAGATAATATAAGGGAATGAGCCATTTTAAAAAAATAGGGAAGTGAGTACTCACAGCAATGATGGGCATTCTTTTACGGGATGAGGGAGTCCAACAAGGAGTAGTTGGCTCGATTCCAGCATTTACAGCCGCCTCCCAGCTGCCTGTTTCCTCAAAAGAACGAATTAACCTTGTAGCTTGAAGGCCATCCATAACTGGCATGAACACATCCTGCAATAATCAAAACCTAGTTTCAAACTCGCCCTTTTAAATTTAAAATATATAGATAGATATATATATATATTTCTAGCATTAAATTTTAGAATTTACAAAAATAACTCAAATTAGTTAAAATATAGTCAAAGAATTTTCTGAAGTCAAGATGTAATGTTATAAATTGCAGAAGCAAACATACCATGAGAATGAGATCGTAAGAACGTCGTTGAACTGCACGAACACCTTCAATTCCATTGGTTACCACGTCGATTTTTTGGCCGAACTTCTTCATCATGGATTGAGCCACCATAATATTGGTCTTATTATCCTCAACAAGAAGAATTCTGGGTTCCAATGCCATTGTTACTTCAGAACCACTACTGGTAGTTCTAAAGTGGGAACTTGCATCGGACCTCTCTTTACCCTGATCTGTTTTTTGGAGTTTACTACTTGGCTTTTCCAATGTATCTTCTTGCTTCGTTTCCAACCGTTGAATGGAATTCACGTTCGCATTTTGGAACCGAGCATTTGCGTCGGGTTGGTTTGTTGATTTCTCCTTACCAAGATTTGAATTGATCTGACTTAATGAATACTGTGATTCGCTCGAAGTTAATGTGGCATTGCCTAAACGGACATCTCTAAGAGCAGTCTCTTGTGGTTGTGGAGTGATGTTGTTTGAAGGAATATGATAAGAACCACCGTCCACAAATCCATTGAGTTTGGTCGAGCTGGGATATCGAACTGAGTTTGGGATCATCCTTGTGGATCCATTAGAAGATGATAGCGAACTGAAACTGTGGGGTTGGAATTGGAAAAAACCCTCAGTCATTTCTTCATCTGTGGACTCTTCATCTGAGAGCTCATCGGAATCGTCGGAAGTGCTGCTGCTGCTGCTGGTGGTGGTTGAAACCTTGTATGGCAATACAAATGTAAATGTTGATCCATGGTTCTCCCGGCTGGAAACGGTGAGATGACCACCCATCAATTCAACCTGCTCCAAAAGAAAGTGCATAAAGTTTGAAGTTATTGAAAGTTGGGGACTTTTGGAGCAGAAAAAAGTGCTTTTAGTCAATTAATAGCATATGATTTTTTGAAGCAATTAATTAGTGTTTCTTCCTAAAATGCTTCAAAACACAAATTTTAAGAATTATCCCGAATCTAAGCAAAATGGTACAAACACAGGAAAGAATCATCTTTCAAGATACTACCTCAATATTGAAAGCAAAATTTAACATGAACAGCTTACCAGTTGTTTGCATATTGCTAGTCCAAGTCCAGTCCCTCCATACTTCCGAGCATGATCGGCACTGGCTTGCATGTACCTCTTAAAAAGGCTTGGTAATGCATTTTCTGGTTCATTTCAAACGAAATCAAGAGAATATTAATACCTATAATTGAGCAACAAGAGTATATTCCAATAATCAGATAAATAGCCAAGCGTACCTGGTATTCCAATTCCCGTGTCGTATACATCACAACGTATCCATACCGTCGTTTCTGGAGAACAAGATTTGCTTTCTCTATTTCCATTCATTATGGTTTCACTCTTGTTTGGGGTTCCTGGTGCATCACAATGCAAATGATTTCTGTCACCGTGTTTTTGGCCTCGCAAGCCATTCTGAGGGGCTGGAAGACACGTTCCTCCTTGCAAACCATGTACCGAAACTGTTGAGTTATCAGCCGTTGATTTCTTATGGCACTCTTCTCCTTTCCCCATGGGTGGATAGGGTAACACATAGAGGTTAATTCCAACCTTCCCTTGATGAGTGAACTTGATTGCGTTGCTGCATCATTTAATTATTTATTTAGATGAAAATAAAATGATGATGTGCAAATGGAAGCATTAAATTTTTTTGTCTGCATCTTTAACCATACTAGGTTCTTAAAGATAGCGTCTCTCATTGCCTAAATGAATATACCTACTTACTACCTCAAGATAACTGAGTATGTTGTATCCCAAATTAGGCAATTCTAACTTCAAGTTGGTAATTTTGTAAAATGGGGTAATCTTTATCAAGTCAACCAATAAGGGAGGAAGGTATTACAAAATGAAATTCCCCACCACATAACCAACTTATAATTTGAATGGAAATTCTTCGTGCAACATACATGTATAGTTTATACAATGAACAGTCGATATATGATATTGTTCAAGCCTTTACGAATCAGTACCTGATCAAGTTGGTGAGAATTTGCCGAATCCTAAGAACATCTCCAATAACCTGAAATAGTAACATAATTTGGTGAGTATTTACACTTCATAGACAGCGATCATGCAACAGAAAGGTAGAGATAGCCATGGATTTCAGAATATCGTATGGGATCAAGCGAAATGAATAAGCTACAAAGCCACACAACTCTGGTTTCTGAAAGGAGGGGAGTGAATGGCATACAAACATTTTTTTTTAGAATAATGCACATCTCTAGGCATCACCCTATCTGCCTCAATGTTCCAGGCATAAAACAGTCCTCTGATGCCGCCAGCCTAAGTTGGTTTTGCATATTGAATTAAGTGTCATACATTATAAATTACTCTGTTTTTAATTGTGATACAGATGCCTATTTAGTATTCAGAAGACAATCCAATTGATCGATTGAAAATTTCTAATATTTACCTATAACCCTCACCTCTATAGGAACATCATCTGCTATACGTCCCTCCAGAACTAAGAATTTTCGCAATGATGCAGCAGCAGTCTGCAGAACATGTTTTACAACCTCCCTTGGACGGAATTTGGTAGTTTCCAACTTCATTACTCCTAATAAAAGGAAGCAAAACCATCAGATAGCTCAACAGATTAGATAAATTGGGTTTCATTAATATGCCACAAGCTAAAGATCCTTTAAGTGAGTCGTGAACGTAGCCTAAATGCTAGAATTAAAACGATGTTCAAAACAAAGAAATTCAGACCTGATTCAACTTTAGACAGGTCCAAGATATCGTTTATAAGTTGAAGCACCAAGTCTCCCGAAGACAGCATAACTTCCAATAGATGACGTTGT